GGGTGCTCAGGGTTTCCTCCAAAGCAGGAAAATTATTAAGGGGTACAGGGAGCCCATCAGACCCACTTTCCATGGAGCAGATGGTCAAGGACACACGTCCACACATAATCATGAAGTATGGAAACAGAGCTCCAGAAAAGGAGGCTGGAGGGAAAGAGAAAATGTGGGACCCATCAATCATGTTATAGAAGGAGACATCCCCTTCACTGTAGTCCAGGAAAACCCCCACCCTGCAGGGATCCTGCCTAGGAGATAAAAAAGTCTCAGGATCAGTTAGGGCAAAATAACTCTTGTTAAATTTCTGCATGACCCAAAATCCCCTTTGTGATGATTCGAGGTAGTTGTATTTTCTCGTCACATCTTTCCTACAGACTCCCAGAGTCCACTTGCTGTGTAAATCATTCTCTATCTCCACTTCCCAGTACCATCTTCCTGATGTGATGCCCTTAAGACCCAACACACTGCATTTTTCAACACCGTAGACATAGCGGTCCTCCCAGAGCAGATGCATCTTTTCATGACAAACAGAAAGCCTGTGGTGAGCAGAGTCTGGATCCAGAGTGACAGGCCCTGTTGAGAGACTTATCAGTCATGCAAGGTCCTCCCCTGCCCCAAGACAAAGCACACAGCCACCCACCACCTCACAGCCATATAGCTGCCTGAGCAGAGGAGGGGATAAGCCTCTTGAGATATGAGTCTTGTAACTCAAGCCCACATCCTAAACCAGGAGAAGGAGCCAGAGGCTGATTTGGGAGGTAGACTTGTGACAGGTCCCTTAAGAACCAGTACCAGTGTTGTGACCATCATTTCTGCCACAGCAACACCATTGGTGATGCCAGCATCTGAATCACCACAGAGAACTTAAGGAGAAGCCAGAAGCCATGAGGGCAACAGGAGGAACATCTAGAAGCACACAGTCACTCACAGGCTTGGAACCGTTCCTTCCGCCAATCTATGAAAGAAAACACATCTCAGGTCAGGGATTTGCAGAGTCCATACACATCAGGGTAGGCACCCAGTCATCTGAAACACAGCAATGTGTGAGGAAGAAGGGAAAAATCTGGTTGAAAACATTCCGCTGCTGTATTTTTTTCTTACACACATACTGTTCAGATTTAGCTACCAAATAATGCTTTCTCAAGACAAAGACACACAACAATCCTGAAAACTGGGTTATATTGAGATACAATTAAGGTTATAAAATTTCAAAGACCTCCATTTACTTATAAAGAACTGACTGTGCTGAACTTCTATGGTTACCTCTAAGCCATGAGTAGAGAATTACATCTAGCTTAGCTAAACTTGGAGGATGACAATAAATCAGGAGTGCAGGGAACTCAGAGAAATCTTACCCAGTTAGGTTGCAATGGATAGGGTTTTAAGATGGGAGAGAAATAATTTCAAAGCAGGAAACAAATATATCCAGTGAGAGATCAATACTAGTGACTTTTCTTCCACTTTGCAAAGACCAATAAGAGAAAAACATCCTTACATATATGGGAGAACCCAAAAATATTGGACCTACTCATTTGCCTCCCAAAAGAATTGCCTGAAGAGTTTCAAAACTTTCAGCTATGATAGAACCCATAATCCTAAACTCCAGAGTGTGTGAATATGTGAAATCCATGACTAGGCCACTTTACAAATGTCACTAAGATTCAGGTTCTTGAGCAGGGTAGATTATTCTGGATTCTCTGGGCCAGTCCAAACAAATCTTATGAACCCTTGTGAATAGAGAGAGACCTTTATTGGCTGTATCAGAGAAGCAGATAGAATCACAGAAACAAGGTCAAAACCATGCTGTGCTGCTGGATTTGAAGATGGAAGAACAGGCCCCCAAATGAGGGAATACAGATGGCCTCTAGAAACTGCACAAGATAACAGCCTCCAGAAAGGAACACAGCCTTGTCCACACGTTCTTGGACTTCTGGCCTACAACATGTAAGATAATATATTTGTGTTGATTTAAGCTACTAACTGTTCTTAATATTTATTTTTTAGTTGTAGTTGTCAATACCTTTATTTTTTTATGTGGTGTTGAGAATCAAACCCAGAGCCTCGCACGTGCTAGGTGAGCACTCTAACACTGAGCCACATCCCCAGACTCAACCTGCTAATTTTGTAGTAATTTGGCAGCAAATAGAAAACTAATATGCCCACATAGATGACACACCCCAAGTGGAACAAAGCACTGGCAGAGAAATGTGCTTACAGAAACCATGAACCTCCCTGTCTCCTGCACTTAGGAAGCTGAGTACCAGGAAAATCTCACATTCTCTGCTAGATGGTGAAAAGACGGGGCCCAGTGAGCCAGTGAACCAGAAAAGGTCTAAA